GGTGAGATGCGGTTAGATATTGAACAGCATTGCATCTCGTTTGTTTTCCGATTGTAAACGAAACCTCTTGGTCATTATACCCAAGGCCACAAAGATATCCAATATAGTCGTTTAAGGTGAGCCCAAACACAAGGCCTGGGTCCATCGCCCTGGTTGGGTTCACCTGACCAGCCCCCGTGGCGTATATCCCAGCAGTTTTGTAAGAGTTATCGTCGACAATGAGATCGCCGGAATTCGACCATGAGTCTACTGCAGTCGTCACGATCGCTGATATGATCTCTGCAGGGGTCCACCCGCGATGCTTGCTTCTCACCAATGCCACAATCCCAGATACGTGCGGCGTGGCCATGGAGGTTCCACTCTCAAAGTTGAACGTGTGGGTCGCCAATGGATTTGGGTTAGGGCCAACATCTCTTGGCCATGCGGCCAAAATGTTGACTCCAGGAGCAAGCACGTCGGGTTTGATGATCCCGCCATTCATGCGGCTTGGCCCGCGAGAGGAGAAGGATGCGACAGCTGGGGAGGGAATGAATCCGAATTTGGTGCCTTGGAAGTGTATGCTCGCAAATGCATAGGGTTGGTTGTTGAAATAGTAGTCCAAAATTTCAACTCTTGCCGGGTGGCCGATATTTGATGCCGGCAGAATGTGAGCAGGAGAAGAAGTGGTGTGCCCTTGGGCAGGTTGATTTAATACGATCATGCCATCCGCACCGGCTAGGTATGCCGCCTTTCCTTTTTCCTCATCCTTAACTAGGCAAGCCTCGCATATCACGATTTTACCTGTGATTCAATATACATGTGCTAGCTCATATTAATTAGCAAAATAATAGAATATTTAATTATCAAATACCATATAACATGTATATATTAATTAAACAATAATTGACAATATGGATCATAATTTTGATTTCATGACAAAATTATTGATTACCTCTTAAGTTCCAGTTAGCCAATTCACTAGGCACACAACAACGAGCATTAATGTCACCATTCTTGCCAGGATATTCAAGCTGCCACTTGGTATTAGAATTCCAATTTGATGGTTGGTACGCTGACTCTCCAAGGAACGTTCTACCATCTCCCAGCTCCACAATGGATGATATTCTTCTATCAGTGGTTGATGCTCCAACAGTTAACACCCATGGCGCGCTATGACAGAGTGTCCCAGTCTTCGGACCATCATTTCCAGCTGCAGCGACGGGAATGATTCCATATTGTATGGCTGCCATAGAACCCCTGGAAATTGAATCCTCATAAAGCGTAGCATTATGATAGCCACTAATAGACATCGAGATAATGTCCACCCCATCTTTTATCGCTTGATCGATAGCAGCGTACGTGTCAGCTCCGTCACACCCAACTTTTTGATAACATACTTTGTATATGGAGAGATGAGCCATAGGTGCCATGCCAGATGCTGGATCACCCTTTGCCATTCCGAGAACATTTGCATCCTTGACAAAGTTGCCAGCTGCGGTACTTGCCACATGAGTTCCATGTCCATCTGTGTCTTCAGGGGAAGGGTGTGTCCCTCCATAAAATGCCTTTGCTCCAATGATCTTATTGTTACATGGAAAACCTGTATATGAACAGTTTCCCTTCCATTTTGTAATAGGTGGCTTTGGTGGCATGTTAGTGTCTTTGAATGAAGGATGTCTGGGCTTTATGCCAGTGTCGATTACACCAATGATAAGACCTTGTCCCATCATAGAGGATCCCCATGCATTATATGTGGTTAGACCGAGATATCTATTAAAACATATGTATAAAAATGTTAAATATCATCCCACTTTTAATGTCTATAAAATATATTGATGTAGAATAAATATACACCTAATTCCTACACAAGCTAACATCATCTTCATAATTTATTTCAAAAAGACAATGATGTTAAAAAGATAATAATTATTATTCTCTATTTTACTTTCAATTATTCCCAAAATACTCATAATATTATACTTTCAAATTTTACAGGACAACAATCAACGGAATAAAAAGTACCATACTTTGGTGTGTAGGTTGTCGCAAGCTGATAGCGGCGGTCGCACTGCGCATAGAGAAAGCCGGGTTTGGACTTGACGACCTCCAACTCTCCCGGAGTGAGGTGTGCAGCGAAGCCGCTGAGAACATGACGGTAAGAGTACACCAGCCGCGGCTGGCCGGAATCGAGGGTGGAGTTTGGTAGGAAGGAGCGGTGAAAGCTCTCAAGGTCACCGTCGCTGAGGAGATCGTGCTGCTCTTGTCTCTCGACGTCAATGATGTACACTTGTGTGCCATGGCGTCCAAGTACATCATCGACTATGGGGAGAAGCTGAGAATTACTACTTTGAATAAGTAGTTGTAGTAGAAGAAGTTCAACGAGCAGAAACGAGACAATGGGGCTGCACTTCTCCATTTGGTTGAGAGGTGGTGAAAGACTAGTAAGGAAATGCAGGAACTTATATAGCACTGTGTAAGTATTGCATTATACTGCAATTAATACATGAGGAAGCTTCCTGGTCAGGAACTATAAATGGCAATCTTCAGTAATAATGGAGAAGTAAGGCAGGTACAAGCATCCGAGAACGTGGCATGGAAAAGGATCCGAAATGCCTTCGGTCTTCTTCTTGCCATTGATGAAGGGAATAAAGAGATATAAAAATCACAATATGGCGGCAGAAAAGAATTTGCCGAAATTTTCTGAGTATGTTTGATTTTGATAAATTCAATTTGATTAAGGCGATGGTTTTTTTATTGCTTCTTAAAATAAAATTTTAATACACAAATTTTAAATTTTGTGTTAAAATTATGTTTTAAGAAACAATAAAAAAGTCGTTCTAAACGAAGCCTAAATCATGTTCATCCATTAGACCTAATTCAAGTCCATCGCAAAATAATAATTGATGTGGTGCATCATAGTTCAGGTATTAGTATACTTACTTTTCCATTCCTTAAATTATCGTTATGCATTGCCTTCCAACTATCCTAGTCTGCTTCTTTAGGTAAAATAGTACAAAGTAGCTTTTTTGAGGTGTTTAGCCATTTTCAACATGAGGAAAGACCTCATGACAGTAAGCTTTTATCCTTGTTGGGGAGGGAGGAAACTTTTGATACATTGAATATTACACTTATTGATTGTTGCTCTAGTTCTCTATTTGTTTTTCCCATTCTTTTACCCAGCTTCTTCCACAGCATACCACATCAATTATTAGTATCAAAGCCAATGGCTTGGTGAGATGGCAGAGAGTAGCAAGTGTGTGCCTGGCGATGAGGATCGCAACTTGGAGGCTCTTTGAGATGCACACGATGATGTCGTGAAGCGGTTAGATGACATGGTCGTGAGCATCAATTGCATGGTGGCGGAACTGCAGCGAGATCGTGTAGGGGGAGTTCCGGCAAGAGAAACTGCTCACAGGCCTTTGCGGCTAGTTACGCCTCCGAACAAGCATGGAGAATGTGGGTTCTGTGGACGGCGGCAATTCCACAATGCTCAGGAAATGTCCGATTTGGAAGATGAATTTGATGATGGCATTCCTGATGCCTTCCAAGATTTGGATGTGGACAATGTGGCGCCACAGTACCAGCAGCGGAGGCCGATGGCGTTCGATAGGCAACGCTATGAGTTTCGAGCAAAGCTCAACATCCCCTTCTTTGAGGGGCAATTGCACATCTGGGATTATCTCGATTGGGAGAGGGCCGTGGAAATTTTTTTTGATTATATGGAGGTTGAACTCAAGCAGCAAGTCAAATATGTTGCTTGTAGATTGAAGGGACGGACAAGTGCGTGGTGGTCGCACTTATCTCAGTCCTGCCGGAGAGAGGGCTGAGGCAGTGTGCGAAGTTGGGCATGTATGAAGCAATTGTTACGGTCCCAATTTCTCCCAACCGACTACGAACAATTGCTCTACCTGAAATATCAATAGTGTGCACAAGGCGGTCGCTCTGTGAGTGAATACACCAAGGAGTTCTATAGACTATGCCCCAGAAATGACCTCCATGAGTCTAATAATCAATTAGTAGCTCGGTACGTTGGGGGGCTGAAAGATACCAACGGGACAAGCTAGAATTGAATGCAGTGTAGTTGTTGGCCGAAGCCGTCAACTTCGCCCTCAAGGCTGAGCTACAACTAGACCGATAGTCCCGCTGCCATTCGTCCCAGCAATAGTATTTTGAGCAAGGCACTGATTCGGGCAAGCAATCAAGCACAATAGCAAGGAAGCCCCTAGTACAGCTTGAAAGCAACCCTCAATGAAGTATTTGTAAATCACCAATGAAGCTGAGATTGTAGCCTAAACATGTGGCAGCAATTAAGGAAAATCCTTATGCAAAGCCCCAAGTCATCAAGTGCTTCTGATGTTTTCAAGTGGGACACAAGTCTAATGTGTTTCCCAATCGACAGCAGCTGCAGCTCTTGGATGTGGAAGGGGAGGAGGATGGTGGGATGCAGGAAGAGAATCAAACAACTGATGTAGAGGACGTCGAAGGCGATAAGGGTGATCCGCCTGTTTGTGTTCTAGAAAAGCTATTTCTCGCATCACTGCGGGCAAACAATTCACATAGCCACACCATTTTTCGGACACGATGCAGGATTAATGGCAAGGTTTGTGACATGTTCATAGATAGTGGAAGAACAAAAAATATAGTATTGTCTCGATCAGTCGTCCAAGCACTCCACCTCAAAATGACTAAGTATCCTCAACTGTACAAGATAAGTTCGGTGAAGAAGGAAATGGATATTGTAGTGTCAGAGATGTGCCGAGTTATGTTCTCTATGGGCAAGCATTACTCTTGTGCAGTACTTTGTGATGTGTTAGGCATGGACATTTGTCATTTGATCTTGAGATGTCCTTGGCAATTTGACGTCGGAGCCTTATATGATGGCAGAGCCAACATGCATTCTTTTGAATGGAAGGGCAAACGGCTAAGGTTGATCTCGAACCCCTCCGATAATCAAGCCAAAAACATTTATACGAGAGCTACCATGCACATTGAAACAAGTAACACACTTCTATCCTCCTAGAAACAACAATTATATATGTTTACATTAGTGGTTCAGGAGCAGGAGACATGACATTGGGCCTTGGAGCAGAATTCCAAAATCTATAAATTGTTGGAGCATTTTCGAGATGTGCTGTCTGAGACACTACCGTCAAGACTACCTCAACTAAGGGCATTGCAACATCATATTGACTTTCATCTAGGCGTAGTCCTTCCAAACATGCCGCACTATCGATTGAGTCCTAAGGAGCAGCAAATCCTATAGCAGATCATGGAAGAGTTATTGGAGAAGCAGTTTATACAACCCAGCCTCAGCCCTATGTCATTCCTGCATTATTGGTGCTCAAGAAGGATGAAAGCTGGCGTATGTGATGCCCTAAGGATCTAACTTGGAAGAATTATTTATTTATCCTTTAATGAACAATACCAGAGCAATCTAGAATCATCTATCAGTAAAAAAATAATATAATAGATTCTATAATTTAAAACATTAATGTACACATTTATTATTCATTCCCAAAAGTTATTTACAATACTCAAGATCTTCACAATTATCTTGTATCCATCCTGTCCTGAGTACAAAAAGAATCACTGGAATGAAAAAAAAGAATAGAACCTGAAGAACCTTGATCAATCTCACACTCCTGCTCCTTTACCCTAACCCAAAATCATTAACCACATATAATGAGCTTAAATAGCCCAGCAGGTCAACAAATACTTACAATTGAAATCAAAGTACGATACAGAAGTAATATGCATGTCAATCAGTCAAATCACGACAATCACTTACACATGATCATTGAATCAATACAGAAATAAAAATCAATGCAGAAATAATAATCAATGCATAACCAGTATCAATACAAAGACAGTAGAACTCATAATCATCAGTAGTGGAATCAGTAAACAGTAGAAAAAAATTCATAAAGCTCAATGAACCAGTACATATCGTATTTATAACATCAGTCAATTCAATAGAGAAATCATCGTATCTAAAACCTCAGTCAAGTCATTAAAGAAATTATCATATTAGTAATATCAATCAAATCAATAAAGAAATCATCTCCATCAATAATATCAGTCGGCATAAAATCTTATAAAGCATCAAATCAATACATCGTTAGTAATTGTTGAAATCAGATCATTAAAATAAAATCATATCGGAATGTATACTTGCTATCCAGTTATTCAATAGTACGATCCCATGCAATCTAGTTAATATATATCATGTGCTCAGTGTATCACATGTATAATGTCAGTATAGTGACTTAGTAGTATCGATGCCTATATCAGTGTCTGTATCAGTATCAATAATAATCCCTTGACATGAGCAGTAATGCAATAACAGTGAAATCGTGCATTAACAGTAAATCCATACAGTAACAATAAATTTGTACAATATCAATAAATCCGTACAATATCATTAAATCCGTACAGTATTAATAAGAACAATGCTTTAAACATACATTTCAATATAGTAGTCATACTCAACAAGTATAAGCGCTGGCTATTACAGAATTTTTCAGTCTTGTATCAGTATCAATAAATCATTATCATTATCCGTTTGCTCAGTATACATAGTCGTAATTATTTGCCCGTCAGTACAATAATCATCTCCTTATAACTCTCAATCAGTATCACGTGAATCAGTAGATGATAACACCAAATTATATTTTAAGGAAAGCCCGTTGGCCCACCATCCTGTACAGGTCAATCAGTCTCCAACCAACGATTCAACTAGTCTTTACTTGTCTTTATACACACAACCGTATCACAGTAATATAACAATACTATCAATCATGTAACCACATTCATTTTCATCTCATCAATGCATTATATCAAACAGAAATAATTTAGCTTAACTTAGAAAACCCTTAAAATATCGTACAGCAGACAGAAATTCAAGACAAAATCAAAATACACAGTTTCAGAAAATTATCAAATTACCAGAAATCGTGTAAAACATCATTTCAAAACTTTAATTATACTAAAGGAAGATTTTCAACATTCAGATAATTTTTTATTCGATAAAAACCCCGCAGAATTCAGAATACCCGGTGAAAAATCACAAATAAATACTTAAAATACTTGTAATCACGTTTTCTATAACATACGAAAAGTTACGGTGTGAAAATTTCATCAATACAAAGATATGCACATTTTTAGGTAATGGAAACACAAATCTGAACAGAAAAATATCAAAACCCAAAATCTTTGAAATGAAAAATAGGGTTTGGAATCCTTACTGTGAGACGAACAATTCTCCAACTGCGTCGACGGACGAAAATCGCTCCGCGACCTCCGAAACCAAGCTTTTCTTCTTCTTTCCTTCTTTTTCTCTCTCTAGCTTTTCTCTCTCCTAAAAACGATCAAACAGCCCTTTATATATAAAAAAGATATTTACGTTCGTACGGACGATATTTACATTAGTACCGGGACGATCAGCTCTGTACACATATAGTACGGACGATAATTGATTTTCGTCCCTAGACGATGGGCTCTGTCAAAATTTTTTGTTCAGTTTGTACAGAAGAATCTACACCATGTTCAGTTCATGCAGACGGTTCGTACAGACTAACTGCACTTGTTCAGTTCGTACAGACGGTCCGTATAGACTAACTGCACACAAAAATCTTGAAATTCAAGGGTTCTCATAGCGTATTTGCATGGACAGTCGGGCTATTAACAAGATTATGGTGAAATTCCATTTCCTTGTCCCACGAGTGGATGAGTTGCTAGAAAAGCTCACAAATGTCAACATATTCTCTAAATTAAATCTCCGGATCGAGCTGATACCACCAGATAGAATCTGGCCTGGCGACGAATGGAAAACCGCTTTCAAAACATGTCATGGCTTGTATGAGTAGAAGGTGATGCCATTCGGCATCTACAAAGTGCCCTCAACTTTCATGAGGTTAATGATTGAGATCCTTAAACCATTTCTTACATATTTCGACGATATTCTTGTCTACAACAAATTACTGCCTGAACACCTTCAGCATTTGCATCAAATCTTAACAGTTTTACAACAAAATCAACTACACCTCAACCCCGCCAAGTGCGAGTTTGCATTGTCCAGTACCCATTTCCTTCTCTTTTTTATATCCTCAAGGGGCGTGCAGGTTGATCAGAAGAAAATAGCAGCAATAACCCATTGGCCGGTTCCAAAATCTTTCTTTGATGTGCGTAGCTTCCATGGCCTCGCTAACTTCTATCATCTGTTCATCCGTGGGTTTAGCATTCTCATGGAGCCTATCACAAACTGTTTAAAGCTCAAACAATTTTAGTGGATGGAGCAACAGCAATGCAGCTTTGATGCCATGAAAGTCGCTTTAACCTTGGCTCTAGTACTTGCTTTCCAAACTTTGGAAAACCATTCTATGTGGATACGGATGCCTCTACCACCAGCATTGGTACTGTTTTGAGTCAAGAGAATAGGCCGGACGAGTTCTTTAGTGAAAAATTGAGCCCTGCGAGATAGAAATGGACCATCTAAGAGCAAGAATTATATGTCGTCGTCAGGGCGCTAAAGTAGTGGGAACATTATCTATTGAACTCGAACTTTATGTTGTGCAGTGATCATAAGGCCTTACAATATATTAATAGCCAAAAACACATAAACCAAATGCACGCTCACTGGCTGTTGTATCTACAACCATTTTCATTTGTTTTGAAGCATAAAACAATCACTCAAAACGTCTTTGTGGATGCTCTAAGCCGAAACTGCTCACAGCCAAAGCTTGCTTTTCTCACGCAATTGCAAACCGAACTTACAGGATTGGAATGTCTCAAGGAATTGTATGCTGGCGATGCAAATTTCGGGACCATATGGAAGGCTTTCCAAGACAATGGTCCTGTAGCATATTACACAATAAGGCATGGCTATTTATTTAAGCACAATCAATTGTTTATTCCTGACTCTTCCTGGACGCCATAGTTGAATAAAGAGCTCCACTGTGGAGGCTTAGCTGCTCATGTTGCCTGAGCAATACATTAGCTCAATTGCAATCAAGATTTTTTTGGCCTCATCTCCGAAGAGATGTGATGAGATTTATAGAGCGTTGCCCAGTTTGCCAAAGTTATAAAGGAGGCGAACATAACCAAGGCTTATACTTACCACTATCGGTACCAGAAACTATTTGGGAAGATTTAAGCTTAGACTTTGTTCTAGGCTTGCCTCGCACCCGCCTAGGAAATGGCTCAATAATGGTTGTGGTGGATAGGTTCTCTAAAATGGCGCACTTTATTGCCTGCCGGAAGACATTCGACACCCTTAATGTGGCCAAATTATTCATCAGCGAGATTGTTCGCCTCCATGGTATTCCCCACAGCCTCACGTCGGATAGGGATGTCAAGTTTGTGAGGCACTTTTGGAAGGAATTGTGGAAACGGTTGCAAATCAAGATCAAGCTCAACTTAGCCTATCATCCACAAACCGACAGCCAAACCGAGGTGGTGAATCACACACTAGGCAATATGCTCGGGTGCCTAGTCTAGGATCACCCAAAGCAGTGGGATGAATTATTGGGACAAGCTGAGTTTGCCTACAACAGTATGCCCAACTGGTCCACCGGAAAGTACCCTTTCAAGGTGGTTTACACCAAGCCGGTTAATTATAAAATTGATATAGCTTTATTACCTAAATGCCATAGCCGATCAGCTAGCACGCTTGCGGACCAGTTCGCCACTATGCTTCTGAACGTTCAACAACGCATCCTTGAATCTAACAATCAGTACAAACTAGTGGCAGACAAACATAGGTGTGCCAAGCTCTTTCAAAGTAGAGATTTTGTAATGGTTTGATTGAGGCGTGAGCGTTTCGCACCTGGCACCTATTCCAAATTAAGTCGCCGGAAGATTGGGCCTATACCAATTGTCCGCCGAATCAATGATAATGCTTACGTTGTGAATTTACCGCTTGAGTATAACACTTCCTCTACGTTCAACGTGGTGGATATTTCAAAATACCAAGCTCCATATCAGGCTATAATTACCGTCTCATCCACCGAGGGGGGGGGGGGGGGGTGCATCATAGTTCAACTATTCTTATACTTACTTTTCCATTTCTTAATTTACCGTTATGTGTTGCCTTCTCACTATCCTCGTAAAATAATACAAAGTAGCTTTTTGAGGTGTTTAGCCATTTTTAGCGTGAGGAAATACCTCATAACAGGAAGCTTTTATCCTTGTTGGGGAGGGAGGAAACTTTTGATACATTGAATATTATACTTCCTGATTGTTGCTCTAGTTCTCTGTTTGTTTTTTCCATTGTTCTACCCTGCTTCTTCCACAGCATACCACATCAATAATTGGAAACTTTTAAATGCCATATGAGAAAGCAAGTATTCTTTATATTTTGAAACAATTTATATTTCTATATATTTTGAAACAATTTATATTTCTAAAGATACTTATAATAATTAGTACAAGATCATGTGATTATGCATATTTTTAAAGCACTAAAATGCTCAAAAGTCATAAAAGTAATTTTAGGTTAACAAAATAACGTAGATGTGCAGTTGAGTCAAAGATCTACTTACTATCTGTATGATGGGATGCAAACATGAATTCATAGAGAATAGGCACAAGGATAAATTAGTAGAGTGTTGGCCGACCGACTACGGTCTCTCCGACCACCGTCGTCCACCGACTACAGTCCCTCAAACCACCATCACCCGTGACTACAATCCCTTCGACCACCGTCGCTCGCCGACTATAGTCCCCGACCACTGTCGCCTGCCGACTATACTCCTTCCGACCACCATCGCCCGCTGACCATGATCCATCTGACCTCCATCGCCAGTCTATTATGACATGTAGTCAAAATGATATGTTCGGTACTGTCAACTGAATCCAGAACCTGCAAATCCTTCAACAAATCCGTAAAGCACAAAGCGAGGATCGAAGGAACTTTTCTTCAACAAGTCCGCTAAAGCACAAAGTAAAGGACCGAAGAAAATAATCCCAAAGTTCACAAAAGCCTATGACTGAACTAAGAGGATTTCTTCATCAATAAGTCCGTCATGCGCAAAGCTCTGGACTGATGACTTTTCGCCATCGACCTAGTATAAGCCTAAATGGTTTAGGTCACCGGCATCTATTCCTTCATCAAGCCCGCCAAAGCTAGAAGCATAGGGCAGAAGGAAAATAAAAATTCTGACAAGTCAGCAAAGACAAATCAGACAATCCTTCATCAAGTCCGCAGCACAAAGCATAGGACAGAAGAATCAAAATCTCAAGACTCAAGCAAAAGTTGCAGATTGAGCACCTGGATGACATCTACAAATGTCCCTAAAAGACTGGGGGCATTTAAATATTTATTTGGGTCGACATCGCGCTGTATGCCGAGATCCCCAAATAAATATTTAAAATTTCATCAAAATACAAGCATATGATAGAAAAATCTTGAGCATATGCTATCCACTAACGTCAATCTACAAAGATAAGATATCAACCATCTATGGATACATCTAGAAGCGCATATGCTATCCACTAAATGAAAATTTTAGTGTGACATCCAAACAAGATTTTGGAGATCCACTAAAAGAAAGTTAGTGTGACATCCAAACAATTTTTGGAGATCCACTAAATGAAAATCCTTGTGTGACATCTAGAATAGATATCTAGAGATCCACAGGGTCAATCAGCAT